CCCCCCCCATTTCTTTTTAAAAGCCAGTAACGTAATACAGTAGAATGAGGGCTGTCTTTAGAAATCCTAGCCCCCCTATGACCTCACACTGAAGCTGGGCAAGCTGCTTGACCTTTCTGAGCCTCATGTATAAAGTGAAGATAAAAAATACATATCACTTGGTTGTGGTAAGGATTCAACAAATTATTTCATGCAGAGTGCTAGTATAGAGTAATGCTCAGTAAATGGTGCCATATCACCCTCCACCCTGTTCTGTCACATGCTGACTATGTGTACATACAACCACCAATAGACATATAAAGCACGTTTACTAGTAATCCCCAGAAGTTCAATTTTTCAACTTACAGGTTACATGAATGTGGGCAGTCCTGGCCAGGCTGTTTCCTTCTACAGACTTCACCACAGCTATGTGGAATTTCATTTCTGCTCCATTCAGGATTCTTTACCTTGCCTAAAACATATGAGATCAATGTCAACGCTACAAATTTAAATCACTTTCCTTTTTTTTGGAGACATGTTTCACTATGCAGCTCAGGCTGACCTTGAACTCACTTTGTAGCCTAGGCTGGCCTTGAACTCACAATGATCCACCTGCCTCAGCTTCCTCAGTGCTATAATTACAGGCCTGTGCCACTAAACCTGATTCAACCGTATTCTCAACTTTAATGAAACGGTATAGTATATAGCTAGCTAGCTTGAAACTTAAGTGTGGTTTTCATTAGTTCAACAAATCTCACATCCCAAAACAAAAAGTAACTATAACGCTATTGATAAAAAGCTTCCAGCCAGGCATGGTGGTATACACTGTAATCCTAGCCCTTGGTTGGGTGAGGCAGGAGGATTTCTGGGTGTGCAGTGCCGGCCTAGACTACATAGTGAGTTCAAAGTCAGTCTGAACTACATGGCACAATCCTGTCTCAAAAAAAGAAAAGAAAAAAGAAAACCAGCTGAGGATATAGCTCAGTGGCATGGTGCCTGCCTGGCAAGTGTGAGGTCCTGGGTTCAATTCCTGGTAAAAAAAAAAAAAGAAAAAAAAAAAGAAAACCACCAAACAACAAAAATACCAAACCAAAGCTAAAAGCTTCCCTGAGTATGTTAAGTCATAAATTCTAGATCACCTGGGAAAGATAGTCATTTTACTTATGAAAATGCCATTTTGACTAATACACAACCCCTGGATTGTTAAGTATTTGTGGTAAGGATCAGGAAAAATAAGAAAAGTATTGTGTTAAAGGGGAGGAGGTTTTCTGGTAAGATACAATAGATATAAATCCCACATACATTAAGAACTCAGCTCTTCTAAAGCTATAAAATAGACAAAAAAGACTGTAATCTTATAATCAATACTCTCCAAATCTTTACTGGTATCTTTCTTGGACTCAGCAGGAAGGCAAAGAAGAGTAAACCCCAAGGTGCAGGGCCCCCCTTGCTCTTACAGAATCCATCCTCATTGGGGCAGTTTACACACAAAAGCGCAGTTTACACATGAAACGATAGCGACCCCAGTCTTAACGCCTCTGCTTGTGCTGTATATTGTTTCTTTCAGAAATTTTACCCAAACCTACATTTTCTGCCTTGTCCTAACACCTTACTGTCATCCTCCATGTCCAATGGTCTTCTGAACATCTGCTTGGGGTTTCAGTTACCTTTGACTTATCTACAGCCAAAATATGTATTTTCTCTTCTAGAGTCCCTTCTTCAGTGTCTATCACCAGCACTGTCAAGAGTCAGACACTCAAAAACTACAGAAATCGCTGATTCCTCCTTTTCTTTCCATTGTTCTACTTAATCACTGTTCCCCCACCCCATTTCCCTTGAGCTGACTCACCTCATCCCTATTATTCTGTTGCCTCACACTGGCCAAAATCCTATCTCCTCACAATCATAAAGTCGAGCTGTTCTGCAAGGCCTCCTGCCTGCCTCTCACTACATGTCCTGCCCATTCCTCCAGCTTGCACTTCTGACCTCAACCCACTGTCTCCATGAAACTGATTTCTCCCTCTGTACCTCCCGCCCTTCTTTTCTCCTCCTCCTTCCTCCACCCGTCTTTCTCTCTCTCCCCCCACCCCCTGCTTCCCTCCTCCCTCCTTCTCCAAACTTAAGTGTGCTTGGCCTACTCTTCTCCCTCGTATCATTCTTCCAAAAGCATGAAGCTCTGGAGTTGCATCTAGGTCCCTTCCTTTCCCAACAAATAGGAATTATTGGTAATTCCTAACAAATAGGAACTGCTGTTAATATTTATTTACTTTAGAAATTTTTATTTTTCTTTCTATCCCACTCATTGTAGACATTAATTACTCTTCATCTGGATTACCATAAGTTTCCAAACTGCTTAGGTTCCCAAGTACTCTTATAGCCACCAACTAATCTCCATTAAAACTGATGACCTCCAATGGTTTCCACAGCCTAAAAGGGTTTCCTTTCCAGTCATCTGCTACTCTCCCACCATTATAGATCCTAGGATCTAGAAATTGATGATTCTTCTCCCAAAAGACTGTAAACCTTCTTAGTTTTGAATTTCTGCTCATACCATTCTATAAATAAATAAGTCTTTCCTGCCTATAGTTTTATTATTTTTAATTGTGTTCAGTACAGGGTCTACAGGGTCTTTCTACACAGATCAGACTCATAGTGATCCTCCTGTTTTCAGCCTCCCAATGGTGGGATTACAGGTGTGTGCCACGACGCAGAGTCTCAGTCACCATCTCAGTGTGCCAAGGGGTAGGGCCGGCATGGCATGTGGTGCCGGGGCTCGAACCCCAGTGTCTGCTAAGCAGGCACTTTAATCTGCTGATATATCTGGCTGGCCTGCCTATAATTTTCAAGCCTCATTAAATTCTGCTTTTCATAAAAGCTCCCTTTCATCATCTAGCTAGAAGTCATAGCTCATCCTAAAGACCTCCCACAGCACTTTATAGTTCTCGTGCAGGGGCTTGCGGGTTAGCTCAGTTGTTTAAAGTGCCTGCTTGGGCAAACTCAAGTCAGGTCCCTAGCTCTACATGCTGATGCTGCACCATATCTGCCCTTGAGGCAGTCTGAGCAAGCCAGAAAACCAAAAAACAAAAAACAAAACAAGAAATCCATAGTTCTAGTGCAGTATCAGATTAACTGGGTTTTCACTCAAGCTGTAAAGTCTGAAGCATCAACAAGTGATCTCTTCCCATTTTTTCAGTTATAATAGTAAATTCTCAATAAAATCATGCTAAACTAATAACCTTGAAGAACTGTGAAGGGCAAAGTCATCAAGTAAATAAGGCCATTATTTGCATTTCTACATCATTTTATCACTCTTACATCATTTTGACCTTTGCTGCCCACTCTTATGCCTTCTTAAGGTCCTTACCTAATTAGTCAATGAAGCATCCAATAAAATTTTTAATTCCACAGTGGTAATTTGTGCCTAGGAATCCTTTAAAAATCAGGAAATTAGTGTTGTATGAAAGGAGAAGGTTAGGGGCTGGAGAGATGGCTCAGTGGTCTAAAGCACCTACTTGAAACAAGCTTGACAAAGCACAGGGACCGCGGTTCGATCCCCCAGCACCACATGCCAGCCAGCCCCGCCCCCTGGTGGGCTGAGCTGGCCACACACACACACAAAAAATAAATGTAATAAATAAATAATTTAAAAAAAAAATAAAAATAAAAAAAAAAGGAGAAGGTTAGCACTCCCCTTGATAAGGATGGAAGAGGCCCTTGGGCCTGACAACACGCATATAATTAAGGCATTGCCACCTACTTCCTGGCATCTAACCACTGTTTTTTCAACAATTTCTGACATTGCCAGTGAAGCAGAAGACCCAATACTATTATGGACCACTGGACTCTTTTAGAATATTTTGCTGAGTTAACACACCTATAATATTCAAATAATGGAACTAAACAAAAAAAGGGGATACAGATGAATGTCCATTTTGTATCTGTGTATTCAAAATGGTTACGATAGATACATAGTTACATTCTCTTAATGAATAGAGGGATTTGTTCTAATAGGGTTTGTAAATAGGGTATCATGTCCGCATCTTGTACAGGAATTAACCACTAGGAAGAATGTAATGTGTTATGTATGCAATGTGTTAATTATTGAAACTGTCCCACCAATTTGGTTTGAAACTGTCTCATTGCTATTTGTTTCTCAATAAAATTATGGGAAAAAATAAAAAATCAATCAAAAATCGGTAAAAAAATAAAATAAAATCAGGCAATTAAACCTTGATATTGTCCCACTAACCCATTGCCCACCTTCCCCTGGGCTGTTTGAGATAGGGTCTCGCTATGTAACTCAGGTTGGCTTTGAACTCATTTTGTATTTCAGGCCTTGAGCTTGCAATGACTCTCTTCCTCAGCCTCCCCATCTCTAGAAATACAGGAGCGTACCACCATGCCCAACTCCAATTTTGAATTTACCTCACGCTGCCTTTCCAATAGTACAGGCAAGCCTGCGTTGGTGGTATAGTGGTGAGCATAGCTGCCTTCCAATAGTACAGGCAAGAATATTTATTCCTTTAACTAACAGTGCTTAATATCTATGAAGGCTCAAGATTTTAGAAATAAACCACTCCAGCAGAAAAGTATAACAATGAGGTATATAAAGTAAATCCATATTAATACGATGAGCTGTAAAAGGCTCAAGTCAATAACTTTTTTTTTAATTTTTATTTATTTATTTATTTATTTATTTATGTGTGTGTGGCCAGCTCAGTCCACCAGGGGGCAGGGCTGGCTGGCATGTGGTGCTGGGGGATTGAACCGCGGTCCATGTGCTTTGCTAAGCTTGTTCTAAGTAGGTGCTTTAGACCACTGAGCCATCTCACCAGCCCAACAAGTCAATAACTTCTGAGGATAACCCACTAATATTATAGACTGCTAGACAGTGTTAGATTGTTTAGTTGAATTCAAACACCTATAGTACATAGATGCCAATAGAATATTCACCTCTGACAGGACAAAAAAAAAAAAAAAGATACAAAGGAAAGATCATTTTGTATTTATATATACAAAATAGGATAAATTTATAGCTACTTTCGCTTAATTCAATGAGAAGAAAGAGGTGTACTAACAGTGTTTGGACAGAATATCCTGTCTGCTTCTTCTACTATGGATAACCACTAAGAAGATAACAATGTACAGTGTATTGACTACCAAAACTGTCCTATTAATCAGCTGTGAAACTGTCTCATTCATATTTATTTCTCGAAAAAAAAAATAAATTAAAAAAAAGCCAAACCAAACCCAGAAAAAAAATATGGTTAGGATAGACACATAGTTACAGTCTCCTATGAATAGAGAAATTTGTTCTAATAGTGTTTGTAAATAGAATATCATGCTTGCATCTTGTACAGTAAATAACCCCTAGGAAGAGAGTATGCAATGTGTTAATTATTGAAACTGTCATACTAATTTGATTTGAAACTGTCTCATTGCTATATGTCTGTCAATAAAATTATGTAAAAAAAAAAAAAGAAAGAAACTACATATGGCCAGTAGATTCTGAAAAGAATGGCAAAAATGAAAGAAGGAAAACAACGGCAGGCTTCCGTTAGAAGAGGGCATATGACAATGAGTTTACTAAAATATGGAAATATAGAGATAAAGAATTGATAGACAGTAACTCAGTGAAAACTGTTATTTAAATGATGGGAAATGAGAAATGTGAGCAAACTGGCTAGAAAAATAAGGAGAGCTTAGAGAAAGAAACAGAAGAGTTAAGTGTCAATGATCACGTTAACAACAGATTAAGAATTTATTTATTTTTTGTATTTTTAGGGAAGGGTCTACAGGGTGTTCAGGGTATCACTACTAGATCGGACTTGTAGTGATCTGCCTGTTTACAGCCTCCCAAGAGCTGGGATTACACGTGCTCGCCACCACACCCAGGCTCAACTGCCATCTCAGTGAGCCCCAGGGGCGGGGCCGGCATGGCAGGCTGGGAATCGAACCCCCAGACCCTTGCACCTGCTTGCAGGCACTTAAATCTGCTGAGCTATTTGGCTGGTCCTAAGATTAAGAATTTACAAAACAGTCCTAGATGTGGTCAGGAATGGATTCCTGAAGACATCTAAGCATAGTTTCCCTAAGGAAATAAGGATAAGAATGAAAGTGCCATGTTTCAAGGCGGAAGCAAACAGTTAAGAAACAAAATCTGAAAAATCAACTAGCCAGAGAAAGCCAGTCATTAAAAGCCAGGAAGGAGGGCCTGGGAGATAGCTCAGTGGCATAAGCACCTCCCTGGCAAGCACAAGGTCTTGAGTTTGATCATCATTAAAATAAATAAATAAATAAAAATTAAAAATGCAGGAAATAGGCTAGCACTAGGAATGAGCATCTGGATCAAATAAAGTTTCTTTTCTCTAATATATAGCAGAAAATGAGACAATGAAAAACAGGAAGAAATATTCTATAAAGAGTGAGGATGTAAGGATAGAGTTTATAATGTTAGCTTATAGAAAATCTCTCTTTATTATAAAAATAAGTGACTTGTTTCTTGGATTAAAATAACTATTATCTTAACTTACACTGCTCAAATCTAGACTATCGGGCTGGAGAGATGGCTCAGTGGTCTAAAGCACCTACTTGAAACAAGCTTGGCAAAGCACAGGGACCGCGGTTCGATCCCCAGCACCACATGCCAGCCAGCCCTGCCCCCTGGTGGGCTGAGCTGGCCACACACACACCCAATAAATAAATGTAATAAATAAA